TATTACTGATTTGATTAGTTTTAATTCTTAATTTTAACTAGTGTACCTGTTGCTCGAATTCGAGCAATGTTAAGTATTATAGGCGTTATTTTAAAACGAATATCAGTCATAATTTCTGATGACTCTAAAATATTTGACTAATTCGATCATGAAAATACTCAAGATTTACATAACAGATTAATATAATCAATATTTAATGTAATTAGTGTTTTCTACAAATAGCCTTACTCATAGCCGCAATAGGTTTCAAGAAACGTGTCCAAAAGTCTAACAGCACGACTCCCTTCCCCATACCACCTTGAGCGATAGGGATCATTGAGATTCACTCTAACATTTCCTCTCCCCTCCATGAACAAGTTTTCATTCCTTTTCTTTCTTAGTTTTTGTTTGTTTCTTTTTTTTATTTTAACGCCTGTATTTATCCCTGGTTTTTCCTTAGCTACTTTTCTAAATGTTTCAATTGTTTCCTTGTAACTCATTATGTTTTATTTTCTCATCTCTATACCTATCATATCCAAGACTTATTCCTGTTCTCTCCTATTTGTCTCCTGAAGTGAACAATTTATAAATATGTGACTCGTGGTTTTATTTCTTCACATCTACACACTTTGTCTTCCACCCAGTCTCTTTCTGATGTTAGGTATATATACGAACGTTTACCTTTAAAACGTTAACATAAAACACTCCGATCCCAACGCATTTGCCACTCATCTAATATCTACTTTCTTCTGTTTCCGATGTAGTCATACCCGCCTCCTTGTCTTCCAAAATCAACAGCTTATGCAGCGATTATCCAACAGTCCGAAATTGAATGGGAAATCTTCAGGCGGCTGTTGGAGAGCACACTTAAACCCAACACGGAAATGTGCTTGCTGTATTCGGCTATCAACGACAATAGTATTATTAGTATTTCGTTATCGTCTACCAGTTAAAATTTGTCGGCCTCCTCCTATTGGCCTTCCTGGTCAACGTCTTATAGTCTTGATTATGTCGAACGTTTTTTTGGTTATGTTTTGATTTTGTGCAACATTTTAGTATAACCAGCTGTTTCAAATATTAGTTTCAATTTGAAAGTATTCATCTGTTCAAATGTAAACAAACATTTTCTCCATAAGAATAACATGGGAACTATGAAGGCCCTTGGGGCAGAGCCCTGATGGAATTCCAAAGTTTGTTGTTTGATGGCAAAACTAAATGCTAAGACCTTTCTAACGACACCTTGGACATGGTGATTGGTAGCACCACCACTACTCCAAAACAATTATGACAAAAATATGCCTAGCGTATTAAATATATAGATTTAATGTTGAAATTTTTTTTTTGCGTTAGTTTTAGCCACTTATATTATGTTCTGTAAACCTTTTCACATTGTAAAGCAATAAAATAATGTTTGTACTTATTTAATAAAATATCTTATGCTCGTTATATAAACATAATTTTATGTTTAAAATGATAAAGTTTTATTGATCTGAGTAATTTCTACGTAATTTTCGTGGGTTTTTATTTAACAATTACAATATATCTTTGATAAATAAAAAAAAAATTGCGGGTACAAACGATAATAGAGTTATGACACTCTTTATCACTGTTAATTAATTATCAAAAAGGAAGGGGTTTTTGTTTTTATTCAAATCTATATTAGAGCAGTAATGAAATGAATATAATTTAGCAGTGAGACATTCTGAAACCTAATTACTTTTTTGTAGCGTTCATTAGCTTTGATAAACATCTTCTTTGAATATAGGCTTTGAAATTCAGAATATTTCTAAAATATTGAACCGTATTTATTACATGTATTTTAATAACCTTTCCTTTGCTATTGTTAGTAATAATACCACCAGCTTTTAACATAGTAGTGGTACAATAGTGTGCTTTAGATAATAAATACTATACTAAAGAGTATAAATCTTTTGTAGGGTAATTGTGATTCTATAACAAAGGGCATAGCAATATTTAGTGCAGTAACTTAATTATAATAAACCAGTTTGTAATATAACTTATTTAAAACCATATTCGGGGCAAAATGTCTGCAGTAGATGAAGGAATATGATAAAATTTGTATAAATAAGGACGAATATTACAAATCTATCTTTATCGTATACCTTTAAAAATTAAATCCAGAGCATTTATATAATAATAGCTTTAACTTGCAAACCCGGCGATAAATTGATGAATAATCCGTACTCGATCACTTTCAATCTCCTTATGATTGAATTTCAAGTTCTTGACAGTTTTATAAACTTATAAAAAAATAGTTCATTCTATAATTTTATAATGCCGTAAAAAATGAACACCTCAGGAATTATAAAAAATCCTACTTGTGTTGTCCTACTATCAAAATTACTCGTGTGCAAATTGTTTTACCTAACCCGCCATGTTAAACTTCCCTATCCCAAGCGTGATGTATACAACTTCTTTACTTATTGAGTGATGTAAAGTTGAAAAAACTCACTCGGTAAGGTAATGAAACCCATTTAAATAACATTAAGTGCTTAACTTAAAAAATATACCTCTATGGTGCCAACGACGTTTAACGCTAGAAATCAGCAGTCCGCTTGAATGTTATTGTTATGCTTTAAAGTATTTTCCTAACCTAGCTTTTGTTTGTAAAAGAACAATACTGTTAGAAGATGAGTGAAATGGATAATGAAAAATATTGTACGTAACCCCATGTATATTGTCGGGTCAGGTAAAATCTTGTACGTGACACGTTACGCAAGAGCGTGTTTACATCACTTAGGTGAATTATGCAACTCGCTTCCGCTCGTTGCACAACATTCACCTGCGTGATGTAAAAACGCTCTTACTACACTTGTAATGTAAATAGCTATAACCTACTTTACCCATGCATCCATCACTTTATATTATCAAGGGTTACTTTAAAAGCCGCATACAAATAAATTAAAAATTACATTCAATATACGTTTGGATCATTTATGTGGGTTATTTTTATTCCATAAGTAAAGGAATTTAGTGCTTAGTTGATCGCTTCCATCATTATGGCCGTAACAATCTTCATCTGTCAGAGTGCGTCAGTGAGCGTTAGAAGAAGAAATTAGAAGACGAAACATTTTCACGTGGATTACATAGTACTTAACTGGTACATATTAATTTTATATATGCTGTTACCTGATCTTTTGTCCAGTAAGTCTGTGACAAAATAACAATGATAAACTTTTTAAAAGTAAAATAATATTTGGCTAGACAACTTTACAAACGAATACTAACATTTATGAATCTGTTGTAACATGTAATAACTTATGTTCCAAAAATAACCAAGTTTAATTTTGTCAAGGCAAATATTTTTAATTCATCCTGAATTATCTGTTGCTGCCTTGTACCCTGTTCTTTGAGTTAACGACTTATCTCTAAATAACCCCAGGAAACTCAAAATAGGTAAAAAGCCAAAACCTAAAATAATGTGCATATTTAATGCAATTTACATACCAATGAAACTTGGTCTTTCAGATTAAAAATGTGAACATAATCCCCAAAATATTTATTCTGGTTTATTTTAAGCCACGTTTTGCAAGGTAAAAGTTTACAGTATTTAAATCAAGATAAAACGCTTGAAATAATGCTTACATTACTCTGATTATAGTATGCAAATAGTAACTCGCCATTTCTATAAATAATAGTAGTTCCATCAAATTCTAGAATGTTAAGCTCTGGCCTGGAGACGTTTAACTCATTCCTTCAGGCTATTAAAACGTCCTAGAGGGCTCCGAATAATCACATAGCTAAGCCGTTGGTGATTTAGAGGATTTGAGCCTGGTTCATTGGGGACCAAAGCCATACAATCTTCCAATAGATAAACTTCTTCTCCCTCTGGATCTAAATAGTAAATACCTGCCACAGCAAACCTGCGAAGCAGCCTGAGCAAATTTATCATTGCTCTGATTGGATTTTCAATCAAATATAACTTATATATCTTAAAAATTTCAGACATATTCCATATTTAAATAACATTAGGTTTCATTAGTAAGGTGTGCAATATGTGTAATCAAGTGCGTATTTTAGTAAAATTTTGTAGGCCTAGCTTAGTATAAAAGAAACTAATTTGCAAGATCTGATAAAAATATATCCGTAAAAAAGTAAACTGCAACTGTTTACTTACTCTCCACAAGAATACGATGGGGCTTTTGAATTTATAGTTTTGTAACACTTTTATACGTAAAAATGTTCCGTATAACAATGGTTCAATATACAACATTATTTTTAAGGTCTACAAAATATTATTCAGAAAGAAATTGCACAGTTTTCCGGGTCAAACACGGGAAAAATCTACTTTCCCTCTAAAACCTTGGTATCAAAGTCAAGAACATAGTTCGAGAAATCATGCAAACGATGTAGGTTTACACGCACGTTTTAAATCTCATCAAAATTGGATCATTTCATTTTGAGTTTTGAATTGTAATTTATTCAAGTAAGTGTCAATAATTATATTTTCCTATATTTAAATATCAGCTTACAAAATATTTTCATGTTTGGTTTTTGCGTTTTTAAGAATATCTACACATTTCATTCCGTAAGCGAATCAGTCCTTACGAAATTTCTCGAGCTAGGAAAAAGGTAGCATGGCTGTTGAGGATTCATTTGAAAGCTCCAAGGTAGGACGGTGGGAAAATATCAGAAGTGTCAAAATGTTCTGCCCTGCCCCACGCAGGCCGTCAAAGATCCAGTCATTAGTGTTTGTATAAACTACTTTAAATGTACCAGCTGATGTAAACATAGCCTATTTGTTTGTTTATTGATTTTAGTGTTCTGTTTTTAGGTTAGAATGCTAATGTAGTGTTGAATGTATCGTGTTAGGGGAAGACCGCGACTACGGAGGAGAGTGTTAAGGAATGTGCACAGCATAGGGAATAGTTAAGGAAAACATTACAACGGGGGTGTAGGGCAGCAATTGTTGATATGGTCCCCTAGTTCAAATGTATTCCTCTTTAAGGTTTAAAGTGTATTGAATACAGCAAATGGAAACAATTGTTGTTCTGTTACAGACATGAGTCGTGGCAGTGTGGAAGACCCGGGACTGAGACAACACAGAGGGCGGCTCATGCAGCTTGCCGAGGCCACTGGTGGAGTCAGCAACAAGCGACGTACATACAGCAATCAGCACACACTGTTCAAGTCACTGCAGCAGATGTCTCCGTCACCTCGCCTGGCTACCAAACTTCTGAGCCTAGAGGAGGTTGTGAGGAAGGACCCCGGGTACACGCCCAACATCGAACACTTGGTGTTCCCCTCTCGCAAGAGCTCCCCGAGCAACATCCCCGTGCTCAAGGCGAAGAGTGGAGGGGCGCGCGCCCGGCTGGCCGAGGTGTTCGCGCTGAGCAGAAACCAGAGTGCGAGAAAGTCTCAGGGGAGTACGGAAAAGAATGCGACTCTGACGTCTCGAGGAAGTCAGAGGAAGAGCAATAAGGTTAGTATTGCATAAACTATAAAAAAAACACAGGTATTTAGATTTCTCATCCTTATGGAACAGCTGAAGACAATTTCATCGTTAGTTCTGTACGAGTTCTGTCGGTGTACTGTAGATGTCGTGTTTTTTTGCAATTTGTTTCCTATTATTTCAGTCATTTAAAAACTCGTTTAACCAAATAATACGATGTATTCATAAACAACAATTCGGACCCTAAAATATAGCAAAACGAGCTTAAAATGTAGGCTATAATGGGATGAGAAGTCTACTTGTGTTGGTTAGTCTATGGTGCTACCAATCTGACACATTTTTTATCCGATTAGCTTGTAAACAACCCTTATCAGAAGGTAAGCGGTGGGGGTATGTAGCTCTGTACATATCCACACCATAAAAGTTTTAGCAGAAATCTGACTTTTCCTACAGTTACCTAACAATGCACATGTTCTCTCACCGATTTGAGAAAGCAAAGTGGCCAATTTTCTCATCAGTGAGACAATGTTAACATTGTCGTTTAAGTGTCTCACATTGTCTCACTCTAATTACTTTGTCTCACTCCAGATTTGCAACGTGAAGGCACGTTTATTTACCAATTCATTTGTTTTATGGTAACTGTAGGAAAAAAATAATGTACACCTCGAGTGCAAAGTGCAATCGCCTCACCCGAGAAAACGTGAGTAAGGGTTACTCTCGAGTGAGTCAATTGCTCACTTTGCTCACTAGTTGCACAAATAACTATTTCCGTGATTTTATAGGGCTTAAGACAAAATTGCCATTAAAAATAAAAATGTCGAAAATGTGAAATATGCGTATTGGTAGGTCTATCATCGATTGACACCTAAATTCATCAAAATTCACATGTGTAGTTTGAAACTCTCTACACATCCACCTGAAGATATCACTTCAAAATCCCACCTTTTGGGGTTCAGGGTGACCCAAAACGTATGTCTCAACACAAAACTCAAACTCCTAAACGTTGACGAAAACAATACTTTCTCCATAAACTATGTATAGGGAGAGAAAGTAAAATTGTTGGTAAATCTGTTGACGGTGCTTTATATTTCAAAACTAAAAAAAAAAAAAAAAAAAAAAACTCCATTAGGAAACAAACTATTTGAAGGATACTTTGTGTATGAAAAAGCTGACTCTATTAAAACTATATATATATCTTAATGATTCTAGAGGGCATAGCGAATTAACACCATTATAGAAGTTTATCTCCAATAAAATCTTATGGTTTAACTTTTGATTTTATACAACTGAACCTACATAAGAACGATACTTAAACTTATTACATTACCCAATTCTCAACTCTGTCATTCTTACTCGTAGTTTTAGTTTTGAAATGGGTATAATGTCGTGAAATACGAATTCCAATACTATATCGGATCCATCTATCTAGATATATGTAGATGGTACTAATATTTTACTGTTATAAATTTCAGTTTAATTTTTGTGTACAGCAGTTTTAGCCATTAATTTGAAAGGGGAAATTTCATAGTTGTCCCCTTCAACGATCACAACACAGGAAGATGAAAAATGTAGCTGTAACAAAACACACTTTGCGACATTTGATTTTCGCATTCATTTAGTAAAACACAGCCTATAGCTTCAACATGAGTATATGTATAGTAAATGTCACATCTACACACATTTCAATGATATGCACTTAACGAAAATATTGTTTAAGGTTATGAATCGACCCTTTAAAATATTTTTATTTATGACAGAACTTTGTAACTTTATAGCTAATCATGTATGACTCAACATACAAAGTTTTCGGAGAAAAAGCAGGGAATGTTTTTAAATATTTGTGTAACTAGCTTTAGTCAAATCCTCTTACCTAGCGTTGAAGATTTTAACACCTCAGATTTGTTGGAATAAAATGTATAAACGGACATTTGGAGAGCGAAAGCTGCAGTATGAAGCTAAAGCTTGTACGAGGGCAGCTAATGCCTCTCTGAATTTGCATAAATGTTGGAGCTAACGAATTCGCCAACGTCCATGTGAAGTATTACATCACTGCAAAAAAGAGAAAACTTTTCAGCTGATTTGATCCAAAGCATACGCAGAGACGCTTTGAATTACAGCATTTGTAAATTGTTAAAATTTTCAGTAAAAATATTGCTGAAAGATTTAATATTTTTAATGTATTTTGAAACTATGATACGTTTAACGGATTTAAAAATTGTATCATAAGCATTAATATATATTTAATTTCATCGGGCTACTTGAAATGTAAACTTAATTTAGAGTTAATAATTGTTTGAAAAAGCAGCAACATTATAGAAATTCATAAAGCCAAATTAAATAACAATTACCTCAAAGAACCGTTAGAAACTAACTTATTGGAAATAAAATCAAGGTATGTTTTTATGTTACATTTTTATTCGATAACTTTTTTTTTTGTGTTTACTGAGAATGATAAAAAAGTAACTTTATAAAAATATCCTTGAGGAACGGATCTGAATAATATGTGTTTTCTTCTTCACACCTCCTGCGTTCTAACCCTATATAAATATTTTGAAATTTTATGCAATTTCTATGTAAACTATTTTGTAATAATAACTACCATGTATTGCGAGCAATTTTAAATTGAATCTTTCTTGCACATAACTATTGCCACACATTTTTAGACCCATTTTAATATCTTGCCACTGTAGGAATATTGAAACTGGAGCGGAGCCAAGTCGAGTAAGTGCTCTCCAAAACCCTTTGTCGTATTGACACTTGGCGTTTCAATTTCCCTTCAATACCATTCAAGAACACTTTGACAACCAATGATATGATCTAGGAAAATATTAAAGTGTACTTACCATCACTTAAGTTTTCTGTTAACCAATTCAATGTTAGATTTTAGCCTCAGTTTAGGTGAGATAGTTTTGGTTAGGCGAAACATTTGGCATATTATCCATTTGAAATGCGAGTTTATAAGTTTTTAAATCACGCATTTTTCAGGAATACTGACTGAAAAATACACGAAACGCATAAAAAACGTCCGTACTTCTCTTGTATAGCCGCCACACCAAGCTTGGTTAGGTAAGCAAAACCATAAAATGATCGGCAAGAGAATCCTCCGCTATCGGATCTCGGAAATAAATAAGTATTACCATACATTTCGTCATAAAAACGAAACGGCGGTTTTTGGACACAGTTCTAAACCCTAAAAATGGTTTTACAAACAAATTTTCTGGGGGCAAACCTACGTACAGTATGACCAATTAACAGAGAGAGTACCTCCGCTAGCCATATTGCCAAGGTCCTAGAACTGCCATATGTGTAATGTGTATACACACCGTGTACATGACTTAAGTACATTATTGAATAAAATTTGTTGCAAAATAATTACAATTTCACTCATAGTTGCGACGCTGCTTTTCTGCACTGGGAAAATAATACATTTAAAGTGCAGCAGTCGCAAACGTTTGCCGGGGATAGCTCAGCCTACAATGGCTGGGTAAAATTCCAGGGTCTGCAACAAGGTCAGGGAAACCACTAGGCCAAAAGCCGGGTCTAACCGGTATAGGACTGGCTCATACACGGGCACTGTGAACAAGTCAAAAACAAGTCACCAAAACAAACGTGCAATAATCACTACCAGGCCTACGCCGATTCTCCACACTCCTAGGGGGTCGTTGCTGACTACGCAACTCGGGCTTCGTCCTAACTACCCAATAGTTAAGCCCAGAGTGCCTAAAACACGGTGAGTTACACGACGACTTGCCAATAAAAACCACAACGCGTGTTATCACCAGGCGGGGTCTACTAGGCCACTATAATCCAATACACAACTCTAATGCCCAAGCTAAGAATCAAACAGTTCACTCAATAATCGTACCACATAATAATATACAAGTACACTATAGGTAGAGTGACTACACCACTAGTAGCTGGTCTCAATAAATACCAAGCCAAACAAGCAAAACTAAATGTAAATTGCAATAGCCTACTATTAAATTATTGAGCAACTTAGTAGCAGATGAATAAATATTAAATACGTTCCAAACACTAGATAAATATATTATCTGATAGCCGATACTCCGCTGTCCAAGCTACCAAGCTAACGTGTTGGATTACTAAGCAAGCTGTTCAGGTTGAAGTAAAATAATCAAATGATTAATTAATAACAACCCTACTGCTACTACTACGACATCAACGTTATATTACTTAGCTGGGCTTCTGTTAACAGGCTAATACAATTAGCTACTAGCCTACTGGCCGCGTGCTTCCAACTACGCACGCCAAATCGTGCAGCCTAGGTTTGTCGGGCCTCAGAGTTATTAGTAATATAACTAACTCTTTGTACAACGCAAAATAATAACTACTACAGTCAATAAATTATATTATTTGCGCTCTAGCACCTGCCCAGAACCGTCAGGAATACACTTTAATATTATTCCTGACTAATATAAATCCTAACTACCGTCAGGCTTTGACCAGCACGGTTACAACTCTAACCCTCGCAAATAAATCAGATATTAATATTATCAAACTAATAATATCAAGTCGTCCACTCACCTCAAGTGGGTCACTGACTTACTACCCAACTTGACACCAACACGCCTTGAGCACCAATATCACACCGATGTCACCAAAGCACTCCCCGTCTCACTCGACAATCACGAACCAGCTGTTCACTGCACGGGATCCACGACTAGAATGTCTGTCCTAGGTTATCCTGAGAAACTAGGATATCCCAGGCTTATCGGCACTGATAAGCCGGGTCAAAGGGCGCTAGCCAGGTTCGCCGCCGCCGCTTGCCTACCTCAACAATCGGTGCGCGGCCAAATAGCAAATATATACCCCCCTAGGAAAAATAACTCGTTACATCCCCCACTTACATCGGGATAAAAAAAAGAAAACGGCCAAAAGAAAAAAAATCTTTGAACTCCGGCCAAAACAAAATACCCCAACTCTTAACCCAATGATTCCTCTTTTGCCACGGGTCTCAAAGCAAAACAAAAACAAAACTACTCGATTAAACAAAACATCAAAACAAGAAT